GGATGCACGGGGCCCCGACGACGACAATGACGACGACGATTCCGACACGGACCCCGAGCGGCTGCCCGTGGCCCTGGACAGGGGCCCCTCGCCGTTGGGGCAGGTCCCTCGGGGAGAGCCGGCGCCCGGCGGAGAGCAGCCGCCCCCCGCAGTGGGGCCGCCGCCGTTCGTGTGGATCGAGGCGAGCGGAATGTACGGGGAGGGGCGAGGCGAGGGAGCCGGCGAAGATGCGACGGGGACAGGGGAGGCACAGTGCGGAGGGGAGCAGCAGCGTGGAGCCTTCAGGGTGAGCACGGCTCGTGACGCTCACCCTGCACCGGGCGGGGGGGGGGGCGGTGTGTGTGGGGTGAGTCTCGGGGTAAAGCGGTGAATATGCAATACGAGTGTGGGAGGAGTGCACGAGGGGTGTCGATGTGTGCGTGGGGGCGAGTTTGGGGAGGGAGTGCGTAACCTAGTGTATCGAGGGTTGATCTCTATGGTGTCTACGCTGGGCTTTGTTTATTGATTTCAAATCATACGTGCACCATTTGATGCATGTATTATGAGCATTCAAATCTATTTTAATAATTCAATTCATCCTTGCAAACGAAATTATTTCAAACATGCGACATGTCCAAATATTTCCCTGTCACCACGTGTCACCCGCATATCTCCGTGTCTCTCCGTGTACCCCAGTCTCACCGCTGTGAGGAGTGCGGTCGGGAGTTTGGCTCCCACTCGCACCTGGTGCAGCACCGCATCATCCACACGGGCGAGAAGCCGTACGGCTGCGGCGAGTGCGGCCAGCGCTTCAACCGCAAGCACCACCTGTCGCGGCACGCGCGCACGCACACGGGCGAGAGGCCACACGTGTGCCCCGAGTGCGGCGCCAGCTTCGCACAGTCGTCCGACCTCAATCGCCACCGCCGGCGCCACGGCGGGCAGCGCCCCCACGCGTGCGGCGCGTGCGGGAAGAGATTTGCGCAGGCGGGGGATCTGGCCCGCCACCGCATGCGCCACACGGGCGAACGCCCCTACTGCTGTCCCGACTGCGGCAAGGGCTTCATCCACCCGACGAGCCTCATCAACCATCGCAAGGGCCACGCCAGCGCCGCGCTCTCGCCCCCGCGCCGGCCCCCGCACGGCGCCGGCGCGCAAGGGGACAGCGGAGTATGAGGGGCCGCGCGTGACAGCGCCGTCAGCGCGACTACCAGTAACGCTAGCGCTACGACTGGTAAAAGTGACAATTTTATCGACACCATCAGCAAAATTAGCAGCAGCACAGCCAAACACTATCAACGCGCTACGAAGGCTACGACCAACACTGTCACTTCATAACACCACTGCCACTAAACATCACCAACAAACACCGTAACCAAAACATGTAGGAACACCACGACCAACGCCCAATAAAATGTAGTGAAACCACTATCAACACACACCGCTACCAGCAACATTACCAACATCGGTGCCACTACTGTCACCACGAACAACGCCATCAACACGTTTTATTTAGACCTGAGGAATCCGATAAGCTGTGGAAGCTCTTTTTCGATCACCTCTCGCTAGCCGTTACCACTTCAAGCTACTGCCGCCATTGGCACCCCCCCACGCTGTTCAGCTCCCACTGCCGCTCGTGCCAACTTGCCACGGCTGCCGTGCGGCCACCACACAAGCGTGACCCAGAGACTGTGGAAGCGACGGGCTTCACAGCCCAGTGAAATATACTACGCCTTTTCAAGTAATGTTTGCGAGAGCTGTGCGTGTGGCCGTGTTATTTATAAGGTGAAGACGCAAAAATAAAAATTGTATGAGTGCATTTGCGTTACAGACCCAGTCGGGCAGCTTCTCTATCGCCGGCTCTTGCCAAAGAATCTTGCCTTCCTGGGCCCTCCCTTGCCTGGTTATGAACAAAGTTCAATTGCGTCCGTGGATTTCGGATTGGTTTGGGTCCAAGGGGGTGTGCGTGTGGTCAGTGCGAGGGCCGGGTCAGCGTGGAGACTTGGGAATTGAGCCTCTGTACTGTTGAGGTCGGGTCAGCATAGCGTTTGGGGTTGGGCGACTGTCATCACGTGTGCATACGACGTCGGTTGGTGTAAGCCCAACGCCAATCCCGCATCCCTCAAACTCGCAGCCCAAACCACAGCACCACCACCACACATATCGAGCCTCACTGATCCTAACCCCAGGGTCAACTCCCACGAATGCAAACACACACAAAAACTCACGGATCACTCCCCTGCTGGGATTTCATCCACGTAAAAGTTTTATGAATGGTAATTTGAAAACGATGAACTTGGTCTACTGCAAGGGTGGGAAAAACCCGATTTTTTTTTGCCCGACAAATCGGGTTATTGGTTTTAATGGAATTAAACCTGATTTTACCGATTAAAACCTGGTTTTATTATCGGCGTCTTGTGCACACTTCAATCCTGCTCCTCGTCATCGTCCGCCGCCGCGTCGTCTTCGTCGTCGCTCTCGCCGCTGGACTCGGCGTTGTTGTCGCCGTCGTTGGGCGTCGGGTAGTCGTGGAACGCGTTGAGGTTCGACTTAATGAGGACGAGCTTCTCGACTGCGTTGGGCGCCAGGCTCTTTCCTCAACTTGGAATGGATAAATCCCATCGTCGAGACGTTTCAATCAGACGCAGCAGCGGTCCACGTGGCCATGCTGAACAGTTTGATGGCTGATCTTCTGGAGCGCGGGATAGTCGCTACCGTCGGTCAGCCACCACTCTAGCGAAGGGGTCTTCCTCCGCTTGGCCAGGAGCTGAACGCTAATGGGTGCGTGCGACTGAAATCCCGACTTAACTTTAATAAAAACCGAATAAAACCGGATTTGGGCAGGATCCAGGTGCTCCGGCTTTATATAAAAACCGATTAAAACCCGAATGAATAAAACCGGGCCGTGCCAGCCCTGGTCTACCGTGTGAACATCGAACCCAGACGATCTGGCCTCGACCCACGGTTTAACGAGCCCGAGCCTCGGTAACCCTGACCTCGATCTCAACCCCAGCAGTAGGGCCGTGGCAGTGTTGCTCGCCGCCGTGGGTCCGGTTAAACGTGCTCAGCTGAGAAAGCTAAGCCGGCAACTATCACCCGATTGGAGATCGATATCCCGCGGCAGCAATCGTCCATTTGGCACCGGATCTGCAGCACAGCTTGTGACGGACCTGACCCTTCCCCGATCCACTGCCAACATAAACCTGACACAAACATTCTTTGTCCTGACCAGAACCCTGCTATCCTGATCGTACCCAGCGCGACCATGACCCAACCTGACCCAACCTGACCCAACCCGACCAGTTCTTGCGGTGGGGCCATCCCGTCTGTTTTCCGCGGGCGCCGCCTGCTGTAGTGGCTGCTTCCCGCTACCGTTTTTTTTAATCGCCGCTGCTGCTCAAGCAGCTGGAACTGGCGATGTGGGGTTTGGCAAATCGCCTTGCAGTGGATTTGATCCTAATTTGCAAACGGTGTGCAATAACGTCACCTTAACACGGACTTTCGCGACCAATATCCATAATACGTTTTTTAGGTTAGATCGCGTAAATATGTCGTTAAACCCACCACTACCCGACACAGCCAATTAGTAAGGTTTGTCATGTAAACAAAACGTGTCAATTCGTTACTAGTACAGCACACCGGTGTGTTAGAGATTGTAAATGTTGTGGCTTTGCTCTTCAACAGACCGGTGTGCTGTACTAGTAACGAATTGGCACGTTCTGTTTACATGGGAAACCTTACTAATTGGTGGCGGGTTTAACGACACATTTATATATTTACGCGATCCACCCCAAAACACCTGCGTTATGAATAACGTCACCGCGCACAGTTTTAGCTCTCCCGATAGCCCGGTCGTACATGATGTCCCGGACCTGCGCTGGGTTTGATTTTATTCAGCATGTACATGGTCCCCAGTTGGCAGATTTTGTCCAACATCAAGGGCTACGTTACCATTGATATAGGGATAGCGCTCGGATCTATGTTCAGTTGGGAATGGGTTCCACACCCTCGGCCGCTGCGCTTTCATCGTCGCTCTTGCTCGTGAAATCCTGGATGCGGCAGAATTTTCTCCCAACTCAACGGCGACAAGGACTAGAGTCTTTCCAGCGTCCCCCCCCCCCACCCAACTGCCGCAGGTTGGCTCGTTCAATCTGGTGATCGATGCTTGAATATCTTCTCAACATAAATAGGAAATATGAAACCTTGGTGTTCTCTTGCAACATTACTTTTCCTTCCAGTCGCACGTCCTCAATGAGGCTGCGAGGACTTCGTTCTGGCATTAAAGAAAAATATTTTGCCCAGCTGTGCCACGTTCTTTCTCCTGCGCCACATTCTTTCTCCTGCAGATGCCGAGAGAAGAGTACGTGCGCCCTTTTTCTCACGTCTTGACTATTGCAGTGCCTTGGCTCTCTGGAGTCCCAAGTCATGTCCTCAGTAGACTGGCAGTCCGTCCAAAATGCAGCCACCACCAGGGTGCTGACCCGCACTCCGTTTCAGGACCATATCTCGCCCGTGCTCATGTCTCTGCACTGGCTTCCAGTTCAAATCCATGTTACGCTTAAAATTATTCTGCTTGTGTTCAAGGCTTTCAGCGAGTTGGCTCAACCCGACATCCAGACGATTCACCTGCAAGCTCCCCCGTATGTACGTACGTTTGCTGAACTTCTTTCACACCGGACAATCTCCACTGAGATCTCGGGGATCTAACAATTGCGCCCTACTCAGCGTGACCACGCTGCAGTGAACCCAGGAGTGACCGGGCTTTTGTTTGCATGGCACACAGGCTCTGCAATTCCCTGTCATTGGACGTTAAGACTTCAGAGTTGAGACTTTTAAGACCTGGCTGAAAACCCACCTGAAGACCCACCTGTTTAAAAAATGGCCTTCTTTAGTTTTTCTATCGCTCTCTTTAGCCTTTCTCTCCCCAGTTACTCCTTATTCCTTAATCTTTTACACGTATGGCGCTCTGAAATCATATTCAAGTGCGCCTTGTCAATCCAATTATAATCATTCTTACACCATTTTAAAAAAAGGCCTGACCCATCCCCCACACCTGACCTGATATTAAACCTTATTACTCTTATGCAGCTTGGGGGGGGGGGGGGGTAGGGTATAACCCAGCAGACAGCTCAGGCACTAACAGCCCTAACCCTTATAAGCGCCAGTACCAACTACAACCACCACGGTTGGCTCACCATGAATGGCAGGGTACCCCCCCCCACTCACCAGGGCTAGGCCTCGGCAAGGTAAGGCAAAAGGTTAAAACAACGAGCCTACCTTTACTCTACCTTTTACCTTACCCCTTGGCATGGTCGACACCTTTACCCTTTCACCCTGTAAAAAGTGTAAATTACTTTACCTTGCCGAGGCCTACCAGGGCACCCGTTCCCCCTCTGGGCTCCCAGCCCCTCCCTCTCGCCCAGGAGACTCGTGTGGCAGCTTGAGCTGGGTGACCACAGGAGGCTCCGGCCTCAGCGCATTACAAGTTCCCATCTTTTGCACGAAAATCCGATGATTGTCTTGCGGCGATCGGCGCTGCAGAATGCGGGCAGCAGAGATCGATCCCCCGCGAGTGCAAACAGTGTCCGTGTTAACGCCGGCAGCACCAGCGCGAGCAGCACCGGCAGCATTGACGCTATCGGTAACGCCAGTCGCCACCCCAGCCAGCGCCAGCAGCAACAGTCTGCCGAAACCGCCACCTCCAGCACCAAGCCATCCAGGAACGTCACTCGCCGGCGACGCCGTCACCGCCAGCGTCTGCAGGCAACCAGCGCCAGCATCCCTGGCGTGTCACCTGGCGCTGGCCGAGGGGTGCTGTCTGCGCGCGGGACGCCGGGAATTACGCGGCACTCACTGCACGGCAGCGGCCATTGACGATGGCGGGAATTCGTAGTTGTGCTGGGGCCTGCGCCCGCGCCGGTTCTCCCTGTGGAAGTGCACGAGCTTGGGGAAGCAGCCCTCGTGTACGCCGACGTTGCAGCCCGGGCACCAGTGTCGCGTGCGCTTGCGCCCGCCCGGCACGCGACGGTTCTTGCCGCACACCTCGCAGTCGCGCACGCGCTGCGCGGGGATGGGCGACAGCTGGTGCGGCGGGTGGCCGAGCAGCCCTTGCGGGGCCTGCTGATGGTGCTGCTGGTAGGGCTGATAGCAGTGGGGCGGGGGACCACGGCCATCCATCTCGTACGGCTCGACTGCGCAGACAACACCGCCACGGCGCCATCAGCGCCGCCGCCATGGCACACAGAGGGGACCGTTGGTGGGAGCGGCGCCACCGTTCATACACATGCACACTGGTAGTGCAGGGTGGTAGGTATGGTAGTGCAGGGTGGTAGGTATGGTAGTGCAGGGTGGTAGGTTTGGTAGTGCAGGGTGGTAGGTATGGTAGTTCAGGGTGGAGCTGGTAGTGCAGAGTGGTGGGGTGTCTGGGTACTGGTAGTGCACGGTGGTGGGTATGGTAATGTAGGATTCAGCTGGTAGTGCAGTGTGGTGGGGGGTGTCTGGTTACTGGTAGTGCACGGTGGTGGGTATGGCAATGCAGGATGGAGCTGGTAGTGCAGGTTGGTTGGGTATCTGTGTACTGGTAGTGCACGGTGGTGGAGCTGGTAGAGCAGTGTGGTGCTGGTAGTGCAGGCGGATGATGTATCTGGATACTATTAGTGCAGTCATGGAGCTGGTAGTTTAGGGTGGAGCTGTACCTGGGTACTGGTAGTTTAGAGTGACGCCACCATCTGGACTCATCTTCAGGTATGGGGGCGGTGGCTCTTGCCAAGGGGACGCCGGCGGCTGCGTCTCCAGTTCCTCGTCACTCACCGCGTCTGGCACGGGGGACACAAGGACCCAGCGTCACAGGGACACGGAGACACGGGATGTGTCAAGAACCGCATCCAACCGTGTGGGAAGCTCAGTGACATGTGTAGGGAGGGGTGGGGGGGGGGGCTCACCTGCGTAGGTGTGGTTGGGGGGCTCCGGCTTGCTGTGTGCCCACGTGCCCCCTGCGATGTAGATGCTGTTTCCATCACGCGCTGCGGAGCAGCCCAGGCCCTCCGCGTGGACCTCCTCGGCCGTGATGTCCTCCAGCTCGCTGCACTCCGCGTCTGCGGCCACCGTCACAGCAGACACGAGAGTGTAGGAGAGCGAGTGTAAGATAATGTGAGTGTAGGAGAGTGTGAGTGTAGGAGTGTGAGTGTAGGAGTGTTGTGTAGTAGAGTGTGAGTGTAGGAGAGTGTACGAGAGTGTAAGAGTGTGAGTGGAGGAGACTGTGTGTAGGAGACTAGTGTAGGAGAGTGTGAGTGTAGAAGAGTGTAAGAGTGTGAGTGTAGGAAAGTGTGAGTGTAGAAGACTGTGTGTAGGGGACTAGTGTAGGAGAGCGTGAGCGTACGAGAGTGTGAGTGTAGGAGACTAGTGTAGGAGACTAGTGTAGGAGAGTGTGAGTGTAGGAGAGCGAGTGTACAAGAGTGTAAGAGTATGAGTGTAGGACAGTGTGAGTGTAGGAAAGTGTGAGTGTACGAGAGTGTAAGAGTGTGAGTGTAGGAGAGTGTGTGTAAGAGACGAGTGTAGGAGAGTGTGAGTGTAGGAGAGTGTGAGTGTAGGAGAGTGTAAGAGTGTGAGTGTAGGAGAGTGTGTGTAGGAGAGTGTGAGTGTAGGAGAGTGAGTGTAGGAGACTAGTGTAGGAGAGAGTGAGTGTAGGAGAGCGAGTGTACGAGAGTGTAAGAGTGTGAGTGTAGGAGTGTGTGAGTAGAGGAGTGTGAGCGTAAGAGATTGTACGTGTAGGAGAGTGTGTCGGAGTGCGAGCATAGGAGAGCAAGCTTAGGAGTGCGAACATAGGAGGAGTGCACGTGTGGAACGGTGGAAATAGCAATGCAGTAGTTGGCGCACTGCGCTAAGTAACAATCATCTAACCAATTTCTGGGTCTCCTTTAGGTAGACTCCACCTCAAATGAGTCCTCTGTGCAATGTGGAAATACTGCATATACGTGTTGTATATGCAGTGTGCGAGTGTGTTGGTATCATTAATTTTGTTTACCCAGTAATGCTCCACTGAGCCTCATGACTACTTTTCAGGAGGGTCCTGCCAAGTTGTTGTAGCAGGCAAGCGTTGATTGGTCTATACTGCACATTGCAATTTAGTTCATTTGCGGGGTATTTTCTAAATTTGTGTCGTGTGTTCTGTATATGTTGTATGGGTGCGTTGTATATGTGTTAGTACACATGCTGTGTGCCACTCACCCTGCATGCTGTCCACCACTTCAGTCTTACACACACGCAACCCTCGCTTCTCCTCCTCCTCCTCCTCGTCGTCGTCCTCCACAAACGCAGCATCATCCGATGGCCACAGCAATACTGTCCCATGGCACACAGTGACATCACCATTATCAATCATCGCCACCACCCCCATCAAGATCACCATCAACTATTATCACCACCACCACCACCACAACTATCGTTACCACCAACAACAACCGCCATTCGCCACGGCGCTTGTGCCAGGCAAGGTGCACTTTGAAGGCCACGTGAAGTGTCGAAGGCTCGCTGACAGGAGGTCTCGGGACAGACCCAGGTGCCATGGGTTGGCTGACTGAGATGACTGGCAGATGCACCAGCTGTACCCCCTACTGTGCTAACCACAACCACATACAATACCACAACCACACACACTACCACAACCACACACACTACCACAACCACACACACCACCACAACCACACACACCACCACAACCACACACACCACCACAACCACACACACCACCACAACCACACACTATATCACGACGGGAGGGTCCTGCATTGGGTTGTTTGGCCAGTTCCATCACTGAGAGTTTGCCCTCTTCTGGAAGGAAACCGTAGAAACCCGTGGAAAAAAACCCCATCGCACACACGGGATGGGTTAAATTTTGATTTAAAGCTTTCGTGACTGCAGGGATTCATATTCTTGGTTCTTTCGGTAAAGTCACGTAGAAGGGAAACAATAGAATAAAAAAATATAAACAATAAAATTATCACGACGTTGCGACTGCAACCACAGCAAGACAAATGTTCTTGCTGTGGTTTTCACACCTGATGATGATTGCTTGTGTTACAGTCGAAACGTCGTGAGAATTTTATTGTTTCATATTTTGTTTGGCTGAGATGACCGGTAGATGCACCCACCAGCTGTACCTACCCCCCCCCCCCCCCCACACTGTGCCAACTAACAACCACCAACTTCACCACCACCACCGCAATCATCATCATCATCACGACATCACACCGCTAACCCACCCCCCACCCCGGGGCCACAACGCGCACCGGTGCCACCGTCCTCTCCTCTCCTGGCCTCGGGACTGCCCACCGCCGCCTCCTCCTCGCTTCCTCCTCCTCCTCCTGCTGCTGCTCCATCTTCCAGCGCGTGCTTGAGGCCGCTGAACCTGAGCGCAGACTGCAGCAGCTCCTGGCCCAGCGTCTGCAGCGTGGCCACGATGGCGTCGAGCAGCGCGGCCAGGCCGGGCTGCTCGGCGCCCTCGTGCGGCGGCCACTCGGGCCCCCGGGGCCCCTGGCTGCCCCCGGCCGCCTTGACGACTCGGCGCAGGGCGGCGTAGAGGGCGAAGGGCAGGCGCTGGCGCGCCGTGGCCAGCAGCTCCAGGGTGACCTGGGCGTCCTCGGCGCACGCCAGCAGATCCTCGTAGTCCCCGATCCCCAGCTCCCGCTCCATGGCCTGGGCGAACGGCAGCTTCATGCCGTGGGCCGAGAGCCACGCGGGGAAGTCCGCCCGCGGGTCCGGCCCAGCCACCGCCACCGCCGCCATCCTCCTGCGCGCTGCTGGCGCCGTGGGGGGTGGTCTGGTTGGGTTCCCGGGGCAACGGGGGTCTCACTATCTGAGAACCCCGCCAACTGGGGTCTTGGGGTACTGGGGTGTCACTCGCTGGGGTCCCGCGTAGTGGGGTCTCACTATTTGGGGTCCCTGGTACTGGGGTCTCACCGGCTGGGGTAGAAGTATCCGGGGGGGGGGGGGGGGGGGGGGAGTCCGGCCGGGAGTTTGGCTGCAGGAGGGTCCCTGGTCTCGGAGAGTCTCGCCTCGCGTGTTGCGGCGCTCCTGAGGGGTGTCACCTGGTCTCGTAGAGTCTCGGCGTGTTGAGAGTCTCGGCGTGTGGTGGAGTCTCGCCAGGCGTGTGGTGGATTCTCGCCTGGCGTGTGGTGGAGTCTCGCCAGGCGTGTGGTGGAGTCTCGCCTAGCGAGTGGTGGAGTCTCGCCTGGCGTGTGGTGGAGTCTCGCCTGGCGTGTGGTGGAGTCTCGCCTGGCGTGTGGTGGAGTCTCGCCAGGCGTGTGGTGGAGTCTCGCCTGGCGTGTGGTGGAGTCTCGCCTGGCGTGTGGTGGAGTCTCGCCTGGCGTGTTGGGAGTCTCGGCGTGTTGGGAGTCTCGCCTGGCGTGTGGTGGAGTCTCGCCTGGCGTGTGGTGGAGTCTCGCCTGGCGTGTGGTGGAGTCTCGCCTGGCGTGTGGTGGAGTCTCGCCTGGCGTGTGGTGGAGTCTCGCCAGGCGTGTTGGGAGTCTCGCCTGGCGTGTGGTGGAGTCTCGCCTGGCGTGTGGTGGAGTCTCGCCTGGCGTGTGGTGGAGTCTCGCCAGGCGTGTGGTGGAGTCTCGCCAGGCGTGTTGGGAGTCTCGGCGTGTGGTGGAGTCTCGCCAGGCGTGTGTTGGACTCCAGTCCGGCTGCGGCGCTCCTGCGGGGTGTCACTGTCACCTGGTCTCGGACTCGCTTCCGGTACCAGACCCCCCCCCCCGGTGACGTCACGCCGAGTGCGGCCATGTTGGGTGCAGATGGGCGTTGATGACGTACGCGCGACTACACTCCCCCCCTCCCTTAGCAAGATGGCGGCGCGTTCGGGGCAAACAACCACGTGGGGGTGGGGGCGTGGCTGTGCATGTGGCGCGCGGATTTAAAGGCACCACCACGTGGCGGATAGAGCAACGGGGTTACTCGACGGCTGTGTTGCTTCGTTGCAAGGGCCGCGGGCCCACGAATCTGCGGCCCCTGACAATGCACAAATAGTAAAACCCTCCTCCGCCATCACCACATACCTGTAAACCCCTTACCAGTGCCTACCTTATTACAGAGCAATTCAGACCTTACTGGTCACCCGTGCCCCTTATAAATCTCAGCGTTCATCCGACAAAGTCCCATCACAACGGCTGTATGCCGTATGGACCTGGAAACTAAATTTCCCTGTACAAGAACACGGGTAAACCGTATGGGTTGACATGTGTCGTCATAGTGCTGCTGTTAAACCCAACCCAATGGTTTCAAATATGTGGCGGTCACACACACTGGCGAAATCTTCTTTGGTTCTTTCGGTAAAGTCACCAAAGAAGATGAATCATTGCAGTCACGAAAGCTTTACACTGGCGAAAGTTAAAATTTGTGAAGAACGCTGCTCTAATCGGAAAAAAACAAATGCGTACTGTTATTTATTTACGTGCAGGGGCAGATATGTTGAGGTATATCGTCTGCTAAATTAGTTACATTCTCGACGATGACGCTTGTTATAACCTACGTTAATAGTGATGTTTGTTGCTGACTGCTTGGCGTTTTGCGCTCGGCAACCGTGATAACAAAAAATGCATTTAACGATTGATCAACTTAGGGGCCGTCCATAAATTACGTCACGAGATTTGATGATTTTTAACCCCCCCCCCCCCAACGTCACACGGCGTCACAAGTCAGACCACCCCTAAAATATGACGTTACAAAGCTCTGCCCCCCCCCCCCAAAAAAAAACACATGCCTCAAATCGCTTTAAACTATTGTCATTGTAGTGCGTATTAAATGTGGCGCTGCACTCTGATGTTGTAGGAGAAAACATTTATTAAAAAGTCTATTTAAGTAGAACGTGTTGTCTATATTTATTTAAAGTTGCGCATTTTGATGTGACGTCACATTTCTCAACCCCCCTCGTCACACATGTCTGACCCCCCCCCCCCCCCCCCTAGGTGCCTGACGTCATTTAATGGACGGCCCCTTACTCTGCCTCGAGTTTGCACTGCATTGTTTGTCTCGTTTCCGCCCCGGTAAGACCACGTGTCACGCGCCGGCATATCCTTTGGATAAATCGCAAATTATAAATCCTTGCTGGAATCTAATTACCAAATAATTACCAATTAGATTCGTACAAGATTTTAATTACCAATTAGATTCGATGCGTTTAACAAAGCCGCACACCCCGAAAACGGAGTGTACACGTGTGACTGAGACAAACACAATCTGCTCATTTGTGAGAATGATGCCACGGCTGGCAAGGACTCATTGCACCACTCCCCATTAAAACTCAAGTTCACTCGCTTCCAATCGCGCTCGCACACACACACACTCACACATGCAGTCCCGCCCATACACAAAATCACAAACATAGTCATTTAGACCCAGGGTCACTCACACAAAGATCCCCGTATAGACTTCAGCGGACCATTGGGGTAAGTGCCGTTAGCACCTATCGGGACTGGCACCGCACACGAGGGGGTGTGTAAACAGTACCATGCCCACCCGGCTACCTTTGTCTCCCCAAGCATCATACCAGGTACTCATTTTAAGGCTGAGGCGACCTTGGTGGGCGGTCAGCACGAGTATAAATATTTGCCACTGCTATTGGTCGTAAGCTGGAATTGAAGTCCACTGGGTTCTTAGTGTATTGCGCTAATTACTATATGCCAGTTCCACACGTACACATAGCCCGATACACCCAGTCAGGCTCACACACACACAATCCCATTCAGTGACACACACACACACACACCCTATCGTGCTCCCAACAATCACAAAATACATCTCGCACATTTCTTCACCAGGCTTGTAATATGCAGTTAGCACTTTTTTTTTATTGGGACCAGCGGAACGAGTTTGTTTCAGGGCCCGGGAGAAGCAGTCTGGTACATAGTGGGGTGGGCGGCACTGCAACATGGCACAGTGTCTGCAGCGTCTTGGTTATCCCTGCGTGGGCTACATACAACACAACCCACATCCTGTCTGCCGTGGCTTCCCGCCAGTCCTAAATCACACCATGTGCACCCTGAGCACAGGCCATGGAGAACGGCACGGTAATACGATCCAGTCGCTAGCTGGCCTGCGGCTGCTCTAGCTGCGTCGCGTCGAGCACCACGACAACCGTGGTCTTGCCGGCGCCCGCCGTCTCGCCAGCCCCCACCGTCTCGCCGGAGGCGCCCGGCGTCCCGGCGTGGGCGGCTGCCCCGTGCTTGTTGAGCAGCGTCTTGCGCGTGAAGGCTTTGCCACAGGCCTCGCACACGTACGGCCGCTCGCCCGAGTGCTTGCGCGCATGCCGCTGGAGCTCGGCCGCAAAGTAGAAGCGCATCCCGCACGCGTCGCACGCGAAGCGCTTGGCGCCGGACTCGCGCAGCCTGTGCTGCGCCAGCGCCGACGACTGCGCGAAGCCCTGGCCGCAGTCGTGGCAGCGGTAGGGCCGCTCCCCGGTGTGCGTGCGCGCATGGCGCGTAAGGTGCGAGCGCTCGGCGAAGGCACGGCCGCACTCGCCACACGCGAAAGGCCGCTCGCCCGTGTGCGTCCGCCGGTGGTTGTCCAGGTTGGTGCGGAACGAGAAGCGCTTGCCGCACACGTCGCAGCCGAACATCTTGGTGTCAGCGTGCGTTCGCTTGTGCTTGAGCAAGTACGCCGGCGTGGCGAAGCCCTTGCCGCACAGATCGCATACGCAGCCGCGGCCTGGTGCGTGGATGCGCAGGTGAATGGCAAGGTTCTCCGAGTGCGCGAATGCCTTGCCGCACTCCTCGCACACGTACGGCCGCTCGCCCGTGTGTAGCGCGCGGTGGCGCCGCAGTGCCGACGCGCGGATGAACGCTTCCCCGCACAGCTCGCAGCGGAACGGGCGCTCGCCTGTGTGCTGTCGCGTGTGCAGCTGCAGGGACTGCTGCGAGCAGAAATCGCGGGAGCAGTGCTGGCAGTGGAAAGGCCGCGCCGGCTGGTGCGACGCCTCGTGCCGCGTCAGGGAGTAGCGTAGTCGGAACCGCTTGCCGCACTCGGCGCACGCGAAGCCACCGGGCTCAGGGCGCGGCCCCCTCCGGCCCCGCTCCCTGCCGTTCCCGGCCGTCACCGTTTCCTCCATCACGGTCGCCGGCGATCGCCTCCTCCTCGGCCTCTTTTCCGGCAGCGCCACGGCTGCGAGCAACGCGGACCTGGCGCCCCGAGAGCGGCAACCCTCGTGCCGTCGTCGCCGGCCCCTCCGGCCACGCGTTGGACTCGCACTACATTCACCATTCTCACCACCGCCGTCCCCCCCCCTCTCCGGTCTCGCCGCCTTCACCGCCTTCGCCATTCTCGTCCTCGGCCTCACCACTGTTCGCCAGCCCCTTGTTGGCAGCGTCACCGTCCCCCACATCGTTCCCGCCGCCTAGGGGACAGCAAACGGTGCGGTCACCCTGCGGGAGACCCAAGCACGCGCGCTTCTCAGCGACTGCATGCAGTACAACCCTGCCACGCGAGGGGACGTCGTGCTCCGTCCTGCTCAAACGCGACCACACCGTGATGGCCAGAGCAACACGGGCATTGTGGCCGCATGGTTCTGCCAGCCCAGCCTCGGCACGCCTCTTTCCACTCCCCATGAGCTCTTCGCTCATCGCACCTCCGATTATCACGGTTGGATACGTACAGTGCGAAAGAAATTCCACATACATACATCCTGCATCTGCGGCCATTGCAAAAGGTGTGGAGCTGGAGGGCACATGGCCCGGGCTCGCGACCTCAACCTTTGAAGGCTGCTTGCAGGTCTCCCTTGAAAAAGAGATATATGATCTCAATGGGCTGCAGTCTGGTGATATGTCCATGTGTCTGTCTATATTTCTCTCCTACCTGTGCCTATATTTCTGTATACATTTACTCTCTCATCTCTGACATTACTCGTTGACTGGGATGACAGTGTCACCCATTGTATCTCCCCGTGCCTCGACAATGCTCAGAAGAGATGGAATGAACCTCGAAAGAATAACACTGGAGAGAATTAAATTAGACGGAATGATACTCGAGGGAAAGATGTAAAGAAGAACTGAACGCAGTCTCACCCTTCTCCCCTGGCTCCTCCGATTGTTCATCTGGAGTCTCCTGCTTTGTGCGTGTGTCAGCGCAACCGTCCGTGCATCCCAGCGGCGTCTCCCCAGCGCTGTCCTCGGGGCTCTCTCCCGCACTCTCCTCCTCCGTCTTGCAGTCCTCATCGCTCTGCTGCCGGAACCTCCTTCCACCCCGCCCCCTGCCTCGACCCCTGCCCCTGCCCCGTCCCCGTGGCCCCCACCGTCTGCCCCCATCTGCCTCCGTTTCCACTGCCCCCTCGGCCAACTTTCCTGCAACAACACGCACGTGACATTCAGTTGGCCGGGGACACAGACTCATTCGGTCAGAGGGAAAAAGGTCAAAACGGCACATCGCAACGGCATGAGGACAAGAGAGAAACGGGGTCCTGCAAGTCATGAAGCACTGATAATTTGCATTTGATAATAATCATAATAATCCCCTTTAACTACCGAGGAAAGCCTCACCGTGTCTCAAGCTTTATTTCAGGAGGGTCCATTGGAATGTTCAGCCAGTTCTGTTATTGTTTGGCTTTATGAGAGAGGATACCAGGGTACATGGGATGAGTAATTCGCGCCCGAGCGGAGTCACCGGACCATGTGGGATACCTCGGCTGTGGGTCACGCCGAGTCACTGACCGGTGTCTGTGTCGGTGGCGGCGGTAGTGGTGGTGGTGGTGGCGGCGGCGGCAGCGGCAGCACTGGCAACGACGGCCTCGCGCGCGTGCGTGCCCTCGTGGCGCTGCAGCTGCACGCGCTGGCGGAAGGCGCGGCCGCACTGGGTGCAGGTGAAGGGCTTCTCCCCCGTGTGCACACGCCGGTGCTGCTCCAGGTTGGTGCGGCCCGAGAAGGCGCGCCCACACTCCTCGCAACGGAAGGGTCGTGCGCGCTCGCCTGCATGCACCTTCTTGTGGTTCAGCAGGTTCGTGGGCGTCGCAAACGCCTTGCCTGGTGCGCGTGCGGCCGTGGTGTGGGGGGGATGCGTGGACACCAGGGCCAACACTTCACAAGGAGAACTTCCCTCGACGCTTAACATCGCGGCCTTCACAAATATTACAGTGATCACACTATTGAAACGTCTCATTCTGAGGGCTGAAAGGAAGGAAAGTTGAAGTAATTTCCTACTCAATGGGCAATGAGGCGTACTCATCTGCCATTTTACAGTAATTTTGAAGCTCATCTCACAAGCAGGCTGAGACATCTCAATGTCTCTCTATATCTCTCTGGCGACAGGCACCGAGCATCGGTGAGCTCTCTCCGATGGTTGAACAAAGGCTACGCCAACAACCGCCGCCCACCACCTTAAACCAAACCAGCAGTAACCGCAGCAACACCTCCCCAGTGGTGGAGAGGTCGTGGGTTCGATCTCAACCCTGACGCCTGCTGTATATCTCTGTTTTTTCCCTCCACATTTAGAATCAACATGCATTTAAAGTATTTGGCTGCTACTATAAATTTCCGCGTGATAAGCCACTTCGTTTGGCTATGATTTGTAATTACCAGGTCGCTTCTAAAAAAGAGCTATAAAGCTCAGCGAGCCTTACCTGGTAAAATAAAAATTTAGTTTTTTTAG